CGCTGAGTACAATGGATGGTACTGACGTTCTCTTTTAAGAACCTACGTTGGTCTGCGGTACAACGTAGGAACCGGTTTTGCAGGCGAGCAGGCTACTAGTTAGGACTTTCTTCTCTTTCAGTGCTATTGGTGAGCTCCGCTTTTGTTCATGGAGTATTCCTTAGAGTTATCTTTATTTAGTTATTTTTTTTGTTTACTTAGAGAACTGGCCAAGAAATCTCATGTCCTGAGCAGTGCGTCAGTTTATTAGTAGAGGCTTCATAGACATAGTCGGGTTAAGATTCAGATGTTTTTGATGATAACTTAGCAATAATTCAATAGTTACTACGATTAAAGTTTTGGAGTTGATTTATTTAAATATTTAAATTAATTAAAAGTATTTGGTTAGAGTATTGCCTTGTTGCATATAAAGTTTGGAGTTATAATAGATTTGATAAGCAGAGATGGTTCGCTCGGTCATGTTTAGTGATCGAATGCCGGTCCAGGCTTGTTCAGAAAATGGGTCGTGACACGGGGCATGTGTAAAGTCAAGGGAAATATTAAGAATATTGTATAAAATATTCTCAGTATTTTTATGAATGACAAAAGTCAAGAGAATGATTATATTATGCATGATAATCTTAATGTTTATGGCCACATTAATTCACAATCACAAGAACTAGAAACTTTCCCTATCATTGTAGCTTGTGGTGTAGACATTGCATAGATCATTGTTGGACATTGTATTCACTTGGAGATTTTACTGAGTTTTCTAATTTAGCTGCTATTTCAAAACTTAGTATGAGAGGTGGCATTGCAATTTCCACGAAGAAGACTTGACTTTGAAATTGTCCAAGTCAAGACACAAGTCAGTCCGAACTATATGCTTGGATACTATCAATTCAAGGACTAAGGATGACCACTATGATTATTGCCGTCAAATCCTTGGTATGGGAACCACATTAGTTGCAGAAATTCAACCATTTTAAGAATTACCAAAAATCTTTTTGTTCATTACATTGGCTTTAAATTTGCATTCTTCATAGCAACCAATTCGATGTAAGTGAAGATCTTCTCAGGAGAGTTTTTATTAGGATAATTTTGCAAGAGTAATTCAATTTTCAAAGCTATAAACACTCAAATGGAGGAGAGTTGCTTGGTTCTAACTCAACTCTACTAGCTGCAGTTGCCAAGGCATCTGGTACTAATTACTGGACTTAGATGGTATGACCTCGTATACACCTGTTGAAAAAATTCAAAAAATTATACCAACAAAAATCTCAGAGATATTTTTGTCACTTTTTCTAAAGCGACCAGAATCCTAGGGTTTAAGTGGATAATGGGAATGCCCCTCTACCATTTTTCCACTTAAATACCAGGTTTTTGACATCAAAAGTGTATTTAACGTATTTAATTTCAACATCCAATATAATAAGACACATTTTTATTTCGTTTTTCAATTAATCATTCGTGTATACCTGTACCATCACATCTTAGTTTCTCACAAGCAGAACAACCTTCCACAACCGCATCTACTGCAGAAAACCCACTGTCCACAGCCCTCCACGCAGCTCTAACAGCTTCCAAGAAGGGCCACGTGCTTATTACCACAGGATATTCCAAAGTGCTCCCAATTTCACTCGCCAGTACCTATACACATCAAATTTATCAATATTCAATAATATAAAATTGTAAAAAATCCGACAAGATTAGGAACAAGGGGAACGTTGGGTATACCATGGAGAAGAGCAAAAGATGAGGGACTTGTAGTTGCTTCTTCATGCTAGACGCCTCTCTGCCTTCTTTTTCACTCTGCAACACTCAACACTCTACGCTTTAGACTATACTTTCTTATTTTGTTAATAAAAATAAATAATTCACCCAATCCAGAAAAAAATAATTCATCCCACGCAACCTTCAACAACCAACATTATATTTTTCTTCATATTTCATTTTAGTTTCTAGTGAATTCATTTATTTATAAGCTAGCGTTAGATTTGGTTGAAACTTAACAAAAAGAGCTTTTGAAGTTAATATTGTGTTTGAACATGCATTTTATTTGAAAAAATGCTGAAGCTTTTTGAGGGGAAGAAAAAATTTCACCCAAAAACTAGCTCAAACCTTTTTTTTGGAACTTGAAATTTTTTCTTCAAATTATTATCAAAAACTGATTAAATTCCATGAATAAGAAAGTTTTCCAAATTTATATCCAAACAGGAGCTTAGTTTTCACAATGAGAATAAGGCCAAAGACATTAAAGATAAAGGAATTTTTACATACCTATACACTATTGGAAACTGTATTACCCTCCCTACTCAAGTTTCAATTTAATTACATCCTATATACAAATTTACCAATTATATACACTTTAGGAATTAAATGAGTATCCATTTATATTAAGAATAAATTATTTCTCATCATTATTTTCTCTCCCTCATGCGCTCTCTCTCTCCGTCTCTCTCTCTGTGCGTCTCTCTCTATCTCTCAATCCTTAATTTCAGTAATGTAGAGCAAAGAAAAAGATAGCAGCAATTCCACCATTGACAGCAATTAAAAAGCTTTGAATTCGTATTTGAATGTTTAAAAAACATTATTTGTTTGAATTGAGTGTTGTTACAAACAATTGGGAATTCTCTCTACGTCTCTCTCTATCTCTCAATCCCTAATTCTTGTCATGTAAAGCAAAGGAAAAGAGAGTAGCAATTCCACTATTGACAACCATTAAAAAGTTTTAAAGCTTTGAATTCGAATTTGGGTTTTCAAATACCATTATTTGTTTGGGTTGGGTGTTGTTGCAAACAATTGGGAATATGGTTTGGAGTTCATATCTCAATTTTGAGGGTGTTTTGGTGAAGATTAGACTTGATTTTGGCTGAATTTCATATTGAAACTCGAAAGAAGACATGACATATATTATACTTACGAAATTGTAGTAAAATTGTAGAAAAATTGTATTATGTTGTTTATATATATGTTATTTTATTTTTGTTTAACTATTTTATGAAAGTTGAACAATATTGTTTAAAAATTGTATTTAAGTTGTATGATATTGTAATTGTATATAACTGAGTAGAAATAATGTATAAAAATTGTAGATAAGTTGTAGATAGGTTGTATAATATATAATAAGTTGTATGAAATTTATTTTTACTATGTATAAATCAGATACAAAATATACAAAAGACATATTGTATAAAAATTGTATTTATGTGGTATGATATTATAGTTGTATATAACTGGGTAGAAAAAATATATGAAAGTTGTAGATAAGTTGTATAATATATAATTAGTTGTATGAAATTTATTTTTACTATGTATAAATCAGATACAAAATATACAACAGACATATTGTATAAAAATTGTATTTATGTGGTATGATATTATAGTTGTATATAACTGGGTAGAAAAAATATATGAAAGTTGTAGATAAGTTGTATAATATATAATTAGTTGTATGAAATTTATTTTTACTATGTATAAATTGGATAAAATATACAAAAGATATATTGTATAAAATTTGTATCTAAGTTGTATGATATTGTAATTAAATTTAATTGGGTAGAAATAATGTATGAAAGTTGTAGATAAGTTATAGTGTCACAGGCAATTCAAAGCACCACCCATGGCTTTCTGCTAGCAACTTGAATCACTTCCATTTGAAGAGATTTTACTGGCTAATGTGCATACTCAGTGCATTGAATTTCATACGCTATCTGTATCGAAAATATTTAGGGAGGAAGAGCCACTTTTTATTTGTAGAGTTGTTAGTAATAGATATTATAATAAGAAGCAAGAGGTATAAAGTGGACCTGAGAAGTTGGAATATATACGGAGAAAGATAGGATGAGGTGAGTGGAATAATTAAAGTTTTGATTTTTCTGATAGTATTTGGTTTGGTTGATAAAGGGAAGCCTCCAAATTTGTGAGGTAACGTGGCTGACTGGCTAAGCCCATCCCTTTGCTCCTTTCCAAAATTTCAGATTTCGATCACCACTGAAATATTAGGAAATAAAATACTGAATACACGTAGGAAAAAAAATCTAAATTGCATTTGTTTGGAGAGAAGAGGGGTGAGAGGAGAGAAAAAAGGAAAAGGGTGTAACTAAATCCTTTGATTGAAGACACAAATAATGGATTGAGAGTCTTTTAAGGTGGATTGTATATATTTTATAACTAAAATGTGTTTAGGTCGATAAATACCAAAATATAGACATTTTTCGTAATAAGGTTTCAAATAGTGTATAGGAATGAAAAAATCTCAAAGATAAATATAGTGATGAAGTTCAATTAGGAGAGAAACTTTATGGCTTTTTACGATGTTGAAATTAAGAAAGTGTCTTTTTTAAAAATTTTATGTGTAAAAGATAGATATTTTATGTGTAAAAGCAAATCTCTCAACGTGTAAAAAAGAGATAGAGTCATCAAATTAAAAACAAGTTTTGTAATGACCTACAAAACCACTTGACACGTTCAAGTAGCGATTGTCCTATCCTCTGCAAATATTTTTTATAAGCATTTTCCATGTTATTATTTTCCAAATATAGAAAAAATGACAGATGCCATGTTGCTATTTTTTCATTCTTTTTTCTTTTTCTTTCTTTTTCCATTTTTGTGTTTTGTGTCCTACATCCATAAGTTCACATGAAGTAACATAACCCGAGGTTGAAGGCTGACTCACTTGGTTAACTCTCTATCTTTCACAAACATATCCCCTAATGTAATAAAAAAACAAAAGTAACATAGCGCAAGGAAAACCAAATTCGCCAAAACACGGCATGATAGTTGGCTCTTCAAATTCATCAAACCTGTCATAGCCCATGTTCTTTTAACAACCTACCTTTCAATGTCATAGACCAAGTTGAAACAACTTTTGCCAGTTCCTGAAGAACAGAAAATCGTTAATCCTCAAGAAAAAGACATGAAGATATTCAGAAAACGACGAGCATTTTAGAACTTTTGCAACCTAGAGGATGAAGCAAACATAATATTTTTGCTTTAAAACACTGTAAACAAACCGAAAATAAATGCAATAACTGTAAAGATCTATGTTTATTATTTGATACTTGCAATGCTCCAGTACAAATACAAACCCTTCAATAGAACATAAGATCATTTATGCTTTATACCGTCACTAACAACCCAACAACCATCCCATAACAAAAAAGCGATCTATAAACACAAGTTCTGAACCTATGCCTATCCCAATCAAAATTTACAAAGCCACGGATACAAACTCCTAAACGTTAAGAGAAAATCAAATATGATGAAAGAGTTCCACATTTTGTGTGATGTTCAGCATGGATAAAATCATTATACATGTGCAATATATCCACCAATCTGAGAGTCCAATTGCTTACTCAGCGCCAAACAGTCTCATTTGCATCGGTAAATATGGTATTGTGATGCTCGATTAAGCACTGAATGGCATCAATGGCACCCAAGTCAATTGGTAGCCCATCATCCAAGGGGATGGGAGAAGATGCATCAACATTTTCACCTTCATCTGGATGCAAAACAATCACAAGTGAAAAATAATAAGTTTCATAGCAGTTGTTTTAAGTTGCAAATAGCAATCTCAAAATGCAATGTTTTTCCACTAAGTAACTAATATAAAATAAAACTTACTCCCAGATATTAGCGGCAAGAGAAAAATATGTCTTAATAACATAACAAAATGATTAGATTGAAAATGTACTGATTTTTCCAATCTGCACAACGACCTTCCACTCAAAAAACTAGTTCAAGCTGTTAGCATTTCTGGCTTAAATTTGTTCCGAAAAAACTTAGGGATTAAAAATCTATTCTTTACCTACGCTTAATGTAAAATAAGGAATTGTAAGTGGAGCCTCCCCCAGCCCAAAATCCGTCCAAAAGAGAAATAAGAAAGGAACATAAATCTACGTATTCTGCCCTGGGTTTCTTCAGAAATCAAAAACCTTTGGAAAAAAAGGCCGTTCAAAGGGCTACACATATTTCAATAGGGAATGTATGTAAAAATCATAGCTCTCCGTTGCAGTTGCAGAAGTAGTTCTCTGAAACAAGCTAAATAGCACACAGCTTAAGTCAATCTCTTTGCATAGCAACAACAACGGTTGTGTAATCCCTCAAGTGGGGTCTGGGGAGGGTACTATGTACGCAGTCTTACCCCTACCCTAGACGGGCAGAGAGACTCAATCTCTTTGCATAGCCTCTTCCACAATTCATTTTAGCAGGCAGTTTATGATACTCCTGATATAAATCTAATGATACACATGTTCCGATATTAACTTTCCTAACTTTTAGAAATTTCTTCCATTTATTTCTTCAAAATTCTGAGCAATATATAGCCTATTTGAAGTACCTAATGTATATCTACAGTAGTAAATATCTATTTTGCAACTGGTCCCCTTATATAACTCATTACTGATAGGACGGAAATTGTTTTCCATCACTAGCAATCTTCAGGTGCGGAAGTAGATGCATGCAGTTCCGCTTTTGGACTTCATACATGGTACTTTAATTGCCAACTGGTTTCTTGCCAAAGTAAACTGGGTCACTAGTCACGAGACATCATTATTAAAAAGTCTAAGCCTGTCCGTAACATAAAGAAATTCAACTCGCTAATGTTCAGCATGTTGTTTGGATGCGTGGTTTCAACCCCTCATTTAATATGACAAACTGTAATAAAGTATAAAGATGAATGAAATATTAAACTACATCACTAAGAGAACAGAATGGAATAAAACAAAAACAAAAACAAACCTGCAAGCATCTCCCATGCACTAGAGTTCGAGTTGGAGTCAATATATTTCTTTGAAGAAGGTTTTGCTGAATGGTTCCAGAACTGGTTATAATGGTCTGGCCTCTGGCCTCTTTGCCAAATAAGAATTGGAGCCATTTCCGTTGCAAGGCTTCTAGCATCCATCTGCCAGGAAGAAAGTATGAGAAGCAGATAAACAGCAGTCAAGAGAACTCACAAATTGTACAAGATAAAGGCTCATCAGGAACAAGATTTTGGATCTCAATCATCTGGAAAAAAAAAAGGGGGGGGGGGGGGAACTTGACACATTTGTACAGATGAAGGCTCATTCATAAAAAGTTTGTTGGATCTCAATCATGTGGGCAAAAAGCAATAAAATAAAATTCAAAATATACAGGCTTATCCTAGCAACTAGGCTCCTCAATTAGCAAGTTCAAAACCCAAAGGGTTAAAAATTGTATCACATTTTACAATCCTCTACCACACAATTCTTCATCTTAAAAGGAATAGAGGTGTGAATATCACCGAAAACCATGAGGAAGACAAGGGCACTAAGACAAATTCAAATCCACAGATCTGCACATATCCAGATCGACACAGGGAGAGGTGGACGTTATTTTTGTTCATTCAGGAAGGGAATAAACTTGCCTTGTTAACCAGAGATTTCTGGCTTATGCGGAGTAGCAGCGCAGTGATCAATTCCAGTGTCATGTAGTTGACAGTTGGAAGCTTCTTTAAGATATTCTTCATTGTGTGTATGCTTGAGCGTGCACCTCTTATTTCATTATAAAGCTCGAAGGTTGTCAATGGCTCAGGTAGACTTGCAAGGTAGCACTTCATCAGAGCTGCAATGACTACCGGATTTACCCCTTCAGGTATTGGTGCATCTTGATCTGTGACACAAAGTTGCAAACTAAAGAGTACATAGATTGATCCCTTGACAAATAATATCTGTATGAGATTAAAAATCAATACCTTGATTGTATAAAGAAACCAATTGATGTATAACCTTTTTATCTCCTTCAGCCTTGAACAACTCAGGTGAATTCAGCCCTAGACCAAAAGTAGACTCCCATAACATCGGCATTCAGATGTGTCTTTGAAAAATTACATGACAGTAATGACAATTTGTTGTATGGATTATTACATCTCTCACCTGATAAGACAAGATAATCTGCACATTTCACCATGATATAAGGAACAGGTCTAGTTGATTGTTGCCTCTGCACCAGGATATCAATGGGGACGCCAAACACTGGATAAACCAAGATATGTCACTATGTCCAGAAAAAACATCTCCTGAGAACTTTATGGAAGCAAATAATCATAATAGAACTAGAAATGAAGTTATTCGGGACAAGGTGGGTGTGGCCCCTGTGGAGGACAAGATGCGGGAGGCAAAACTTAGATGGTTCGGGCATGTGAAGAGGAGATGTACGGATGCACCGGTGAGGAGGTGTGAGAGGTTGGCCCTGGAGGGCCTAAGGAGAGGTAGAAGTAGGCCGAAGAAGTATAGGCAAGATATAGCGTTGCTCCAGCTCACTGAGGACATGACTATGAATAGGAAGGTGTGGAGGTTGAGAATAAAGATAAAGGGTTAGGTAGGTAGCCTAGCGTTGTCCTTGTCTGTAACAGTAAATTTAGTACATGAGTTAGCATTATTTTGTGTATTTTCGTATTCCTTGACTTCTGTGATTACTTGTCGTTGCCTTCGTTCCGGCCTTCTGATTGCAATACTTAGTTTAGTTTTGTATCTTTATATTTTTGCCTCCTTTTATCTTTCCTAAGCCAAGGGTCTTTCGAAAACAGTCTCTCTGTCTTCTTGAAGGTAGGGGTAGGGTCAACGTACATACTACCCTTCCCCGACCCCACTTGTGGGATTACACTGGGTCTTTTGTTGTTGTAAATAATCATATGGCTCATTCCCGCATTCATAACTGTTTAACTGATTTCTACATCTCAAGGATAACTTCCAAGGTATAAAAGTGCTAAAAAGTGTGACCAAGTATAACAGGCATCTCCTGTTGCAGCGCTCTTTAACTCTTGAATGAATCCAAAAAAATTTAGTAATAGAGTGGCAAAGACAAATTAAGCAGAAGAAGTTTATGAGTAGATGGGTACCAATGCAAGCCATCCCACTCCCCATCCGCACCCGCAAAAAAAGAGGATCATTAAAATCCTTATAAACATGTTATACAAAGATCAAGAGAGTAGAAACCTTACCATCAGTGCTCGCAACTCCCTGCAATTTCAAATAGAAAAGTTAAGATTCTTTTAACTCCAATTCACTGAGGAACTTTGAGAGACAAAAAGAAAAAATTAGCACAAATTGCTATTCACCTTCTGCCACCGCTCAATATCAGTCAGCAAAGTCTTGCTTTTCTGTGCAGTTTTCTTTGCCACCTGAAAAATAAAAATGATTGCATGTGTCAAGTTCAGAAATTATAACTCCTTTGCATATAAGATTCAAAGATATCGTATCATGTGTAGTTTAGGTTTTTAAGTAGAGCAAAATATCATAAGATCTACATCCCTCATCCATTTCTCCTTCACATCCCTCAGAGATATACAAGACTAAATTCCATAGAAGTGCCAAACATGGCATCTATGCCTGTATAATTTTGACACCAAAATTGTTATCTGAATAAAGTATTTGATGGTGTGGTTTCATATAAGTCTGTGTGCATTGGAGAACATTGCCATCCCTTAATGATCACTGTAAAAACTGTAGCTGCATGACTTCTTCCATTAAAACAAAGGAGCACACCAATGAAAGATACCTAACTTCTACAAACACACAAACTTGACCTGCCATCAAACGATCCAAACCTACATTTAAAACCAAGGTTAATACCTTTCACAACCTAAATAGAAGTTATTGCCCAATAAAACAAAAGCAGATACTTCCCTACATCCCAATTTCCAGCTCCAACAAAATAAATTGTATATAAGATTTTATTGGTATATAATAGGTTTTACTTTGCACTCCTACAAGGACAGAATTACTAGAGAGCTTTGCATAAAGCATCAAGGAGTTACTTCCCTTGGCTTAATTACTAACCTCTAATTTCAAAATCCACAATCCCATGCTCTCCTAAGCGCAAATCTCTCCAGTTCTTTTTTGGTGGGGGTGGGGCGGGCGGGGTCAATAGTACTCGTTAAAACGTAAATCTCGTAGCATCAAAATCTGCTAGTAAATGGATGAGCTTTGAGTGGAAGTCACATAGTAAAAGCTTCATCATTCTGTGTCTAATAAGAAGGGTTAAAGACAATTTTCTTTTGTGCTTTGAGACAGAAAACCTTCTGCTATTTAAAGGATAAGCTCATGAACCCCATCAGTATCTAACTAAAGTACATCAGTCAATTCTGTACCCAAGAAAATTAAAAGATTCCAGATGGTCCAGAACCTCGTGACTCACAACTCTAGTGGTCATAGCGAGTGATAATAGTACATTGGCATCACCTTGGGTTCTATAAAAAGGTAATGGCTTCAAAAACCACAATGGTCTTTTAATGGGCATGGCTCTATCGGGAAAAGAAGGAACAAACAATGAGAGCATCACACATTGATCCTCTGTTGATTATTCACAATTGGAAAACATTCCACAGAATTGTTTATGCTTGTAGTACCTCTTCAACTTTTATCTTTCCAACAGCAACCTTATCTTTTGTCTCCAAAAACCCTTTCCTCAAGAAGAAGCTGGTTGTAGCAGCTGCAGTAATAAAGCGCTCCTGCATAGCATGTCTTGTTGATGGCTGCTGTAGGAGCGACCATCGACTTTTGACTGCTGATCCAACTTTCTCAGCAACCTCGCCCACATTTCCTTTTGCATCTTTGGCAACCTCACCAACAAATGATCCTGCAGACTGCCTGGCTTCTTTCAACTTCACCCCTGCATCAAGACTCAATTATTAAACATTCAAAAGCAAAATAAAAGTAGAAACCTGAAGTTTCCAAATGAATTACCCGAAGATTGAAAGAATCCATTAGCTTTCTCTTGCCACTGAGGCGAAATTACTGAAGGCATTGACGTTGAGCCAATTACCTGTTATCGACTGTGACAGTATCAAATCACCTAAAAGTTAAGACAATTAGTGGTGTTGATGAAGTTTGTATATCACCAAATGCTTTAGCTCCACTTTTACAACTATACAAATTTTCTAACAAATCTAGCCAACAATTTTGTTGCCAAAAACAACAAATTGACCAGAAAAAACCAGTGAAAGCCCCAAAATCATAATATTTTCTAACCAAAGAGGAGTTAGATTTACAAAATAGAACTATCATAAGAATCAATGAGAAAAATAAGCAATTAATTCTAAAATCCAGTTATAAAAAGAAGAAGAAGAAGAATGAATGCAGTCTCAATTCTCAGAAATCAGAACATGATAGCTCCAATAAATTGCCAAATCATAAAGATAACAAAGTTTCAGAATAGAAAAGAAATAAATGCAGTTTTCAATAAAGCAAAGTTCAAGTTGACCTTCGTTCATCAGTTTCAATTACAAGACCCACACCTGAACTTAACGATAATTAACTCAATTCCAATAATTAACAGGCGATAACATAAAAACCAACCAAAAGAACTTATAAGTTATAATCAATGATCAAAAAATCCAAAACCCTGATTTGAAGATAATAAGCGTTAGGGTTTTACCTTTTATGAAATTCTTCGACGAATTGAGAACTTTGGAAAGGAACGTTGAAGGAGAAAATTAGAAAAAAAGAACGGCAGAAGGAGAAAATATAGTAATGCCAATAATAAATTTATTTTGAAGACTTTTTAGAGGATGTGATGATTAATGAGGTAAAAGACTGGCGGGTCAACTTTTCTATGCTTTCGATACAACCAATAAAATTACGTGGAATTTTTTCGAAAAAGAGAAGAAAAACGACGGTAGATAAGTATAACTCCTGCTTCTTCTGGACGCTTCCAACGGACATAACGGCTATGCGCCTCTTCAGCTGATTTCAAATACGATTCACCTTAAAAGCTCACTCCTATTATTAAGGAAATATTTTTAAAATATTATACAAATACTATTCAATATTTTATAATTTTGTATTTACGTTTAAAAATCAAAATTTATTTTCCTAAAGATAATGAATGTTCATCTTTATAAAGCTAAGTCAATAAAGGAAAAAGTTGCCCATATACGTTCTCACTGGTTAGTCAATATATTCACAACTTAAAATTTGTTCTAGCATTATAATTTCATCACTTCAATCTAAGTTATCATGGTTTCTTTTCAATTTCAGCAAAAACGCATAACTGTTGAAGGTTTTAGAGTTCTTAAACTTTTTTCCCATAAAGTTATTCTCTAGCTCATTTTAGAAAGCACAAACAAGATCGGTGAGCAAACAAAAGACAATCAAAGTCTAAAATCTCATTGGATTTTAGTACTGTTTACCTCGAAAAATGTGAGTAACAATTAAAGTGATTTGTGGTTTTAAAAATATGTGATTTATTTCAATACTAGTAAATATGCAAGTAATATTAGGTTTAAGTAAGAAGAATTGATAAACCAAACCAGTGTTGTTAGAGCAACGGGGACCTCGAGCTCAATTATCTCGGGGGCCTTGAGGTGAGTTAAGAGCAAATAAAGTAAGAACAATAAAGTAAAACAATAAAGCTGAAGAACAATTGTGGAGCACGAGAAAAGCAAAGTAGAATGTTCTATTGCCGTGAATAATGTATTTTTTACAAATGATTGGAGTCCCCTTTATATAGGAAGAAAAAACCTCAATATAGTACATTCCTTATTGTGGTAAAGAATTCTATTGGTACAGGTGTATAACAACCTAATACGGACTTGTACCGACTCGTACAAATCTTATCCTTTAATTTATGCCTTGATCCACGTATCCTTGAGAAATTTTCGCTCTTTCTTAAGTATCATCGAAATTATACTGCACTCGATGTAGGTCGTGCCAGGCCTTCGATTTGCTCCCTCGAGGTGTGTGCTTCATAGTCTGACCCGACCCCCACTTCGAATCGCCCGGACATTTATAGCCCAATTTAGGACTTTGAATTTGGGCTCCTTAATTTTGACCGTATACAAAGTAAAAATTGCACGGGCCGCCCTATTTGGTCGCCCCCATTTAACCTATACCCATTTTTTAAAAAAACTTTTAACTTGTACCCACTTTTTAAATAACTCCAGCCCCCTTTCTCCTCCTCCTTGCTTTGCAACTCTCTCGAATCATATACAGGAGAATCTCAACTAAGCAGAAAATATATTGGATCCATTGCAACTGAATATCCTTCTAAATGGAACAGCATTGTCCGTTTCTCTATTAAAGGAGTATAACATGAACTTAAACTCTTTGTTGATACTTGTCAAGTACGGAGGATTATTTAAAACTAGCATACTTGGACAACCAGTGGTGATATCAACTGACCCATAAATCAATTACTATGTCTTCCAACAAGAAAATAATCTCTTCCAATGCTGGTACACAAAGAGTGCTTCTGCTCTCCTTGAAAAGAAAGGCTTGAATGTCCACGGCGGAGCTGAAGACAGTAATCATCAACACGAAGGTTAATCAAAGGAGTTATTAGTATCTAGGTTAACTAAATAACTTCAGCTCTAGAGTTGAAGTTTGCCAGTTACAAAACAAAAACTTCAGCTCTAGAGCTAAAGTTCGCCAGTTACAAAAACAAAAACTTACAAACAAAAACTTCAGCTCTAGAGCTGAAGTTCGCCAGTTACAAAACAAAAATTTCAGCTCTAGAGCTGAACTTCAGGCCCGGCTACTAGAATGCTTAAGTTTTGCGTGATTGTCTTTGCTACTTCAGTCCCGTATGCTGAAGTTTACGAAAAAGCGGGTACGCTTGCAAATTTTTTTGCAAAGCGGACACAAATAAAACGTAACACAAAAAGCGAGTATAGATACAAATGTCTCGTATACAAGTACCTTCCATGTTGCTTAGGTCTAACGTCCATTCAATTTTAAATTCTTTTAAGTATAAATCATATTGATGTATTCTAATTTCATTAGTGGAACTTGTCAGTATAATTCTATTCAACCTAAGTAATTTACAAAAACTAAAGGAATATCAAACTAATGTAAAATTTTCATATCAAATCTTAAAAGTCCTAAATTTAGTTCTACCAAAAATAAGTTATTCATTATAATCATAATTGTATATGGCCAGTAACAATTTTATATTCAAAAGAGTCATCAAAAGAACTTTTAATATTCATGTTCTTTGTTCGATCCTTCATTTATTTCATATAGAAATTTTAATTTTAAACTAATTTATTCTTAATCGCTCCTTTAGATAGCCATTGAGAGGCATAATCTATTCATTCTTCAAAAAGAGGAAGGAATCGATTTGTGTTCCTAAATAAGTAAATAGCGGAAAGGAAAAAAGAAAAGAAATAGAAAGAAAACCTAATCTTTCAAGAAGTAAACTCTAATGTTGAAGAATCCTAGTTTAATTTAGAGAAATTTTCAGAAATGACTATTGTTTAGTGGCTATTAACTTCATATAGCTGTCATATACATAATTACTTTCCGTAGCTATCTTTTAGTTGTTATGGTAATGTATTCTATGTATTCGAGCTACTCTATTCATGAATACAGTATCAAAAATCGGCTAAAAAATAGGGAAGTCTAGCTGCCAACTGTTGTATTCACATGTATTCATAACATGTATTCATGAATACAACGTAATAATAGGTCTCTCCAGTTGTTTAATAATGAAAAGCTGCTAATTACTGGGACACACTCCTAATATAACTCACATAAATCAATTATAACACACAACATTATCAATCCAATTAATGAGAAGATTTATCAGACGCTAAACACCAAAAAACATAGTTCAGAGTTTCGGTCCCTCTCTTTTTTTCTGATACAGTTCGAGTTTTTTTTCTTCTGATATTGTTCGAGGTTCATAATAAACCTAGTATTTGTATTCAATTTTCTTTATATGAATACTTCATGTATTTATGCCAGATATAACCCGTAATAGTAACCTACTGCCTCCATATTTCATAATAAACCTAGTGCTTGTATTCTGTTGTATCTAACAGTTGTGATCGATGTATTCAAGTTTATTTTTGTATTCACAATATTTTATTTATTCCTAATACATAATATTACTGCTTTGTTGAGTATATTTCATTGGTTGTATTCATTGATTTTCTATTTGTATTAAGAGTATTTTACTGTATTGTTGTTTTAAATATAGATGGATACAGTTAGGTTGAAAATACAAATGAATACAGTTAGATTGAATGCATAACTAATTGATGAATAACATCAAAATGATAGAACTAGCAATGTATTTAAAAATGTTGTTGTATGAACTCAAATACATATATATATATCTAAATACAACAGTCAAAAATCACCGTACAAAATAAAAATCAGTGTATGCCTTATTGAATACATATAAATACATCTAAATATAAGAAGAGAAAACCACTATACAAACAAAAAATCAATGTATTCAGACTCGATTACATATAAATACATCTATAATTAGGGTCATTGTGTATTTTTGTTCTCCTTTCGACTTCAATAGTTGCTGATGAACTTGCAAATACATGTCCCTCTCGACTGATTTGCAAATCGAAAGATGGCCCTTTGAAATTGAGTGCTTTAGTGGGTATTCTGCAGAAAACCTAACAAAGCTTTTATAGTATCGAAGATGGCCCTTCGAAATTAAGTGCTTTAGTGGGTATTCTGCAGAAAACCTAATAATGGTGAATATTTTTAAAAAAATTGTTGAAGAGAAAAAGAAGAAGCTTTAATCGGTCAAAAACCCAAAAACTTTAACACTTACCATAACTTCTTGGAGCAAAAAATATTAAAAATTGAGGGAGACAATGACACTGATAAAGGAGAGAGTCGGGCAGAGAAATTTGGAGCAAAAAATATTGAAAACGGCCATGGCAGCTGCTAGGTTTCCATTTCGCCTAGAGAGAGGAGAGAGGAGAGAGAAATAAGATACTATGCGGTAATTTTGGGAGAAAATAAACTGAAAGAATGAGAGAGAGAAATATTAGACAGCGTATTTGATGGCTTAATGGTAGGAAGTGACCATGAATACATATTTTGCCATAAAATCTAAAAGGTAGCTATAAAAAATAATAATTTAAAAGGGTTTTTATTTATAATAAATAGGGTGTAAAGCTTTGTTATAGGAGGTAAAATTTCCTTTAATTTAAAATAATAGTAGTTATTATGATGTCCTACGTAGCTAGTTGAAATAGGAAAGGATTTACATGAAATTTATAGAAAGAAAAGATTAAATTCCTAAATATTAGGAATTTCTACATAAATGGCTATTCCTAAATATTAAGAAATATGCTCAAATGACAATTTTGTCTAGTGTGAATTTTATATTTAAAAGGGTAAAAAAGACGAACGATATTTGGCAAAGGGCCTTCGTACTTTTAATATAATATATAGATATAGATAGATAGATATAGATATTGGTACCAAAAAATCTATATTTATATCAATTCAAAATTTCAAATAACTACATCATTTGAATCTTTTAAATAAATTAATGAGTATAATTTTTGGTTTGTTCAAACACTTTTATCATGTTTACCTTAAATTGTATTTTGACTTGTACGATCATTAACTTAATACTAGTTCTAGCGGGTTGTTCCGGCGCAATTGCTTATATCATACTTTTATTCAGTAAAAAAATTCTTGTTATGATTTTAATACTTTTTAAAATTTTAATTATAAATTAGTAATTTATATAGCTTTTAAAAATGTTATTTCAAAAATATCAATCAATGTCCGAGTTTTTAACGAGGAAATGGGGCATCATGCCTTTACAACAACAATAACCACCCAGTAAAATCTCATAAAGTGGGG